TTGGGTTCCCCTTCAGCAGCATTACTAGGGGGACTGAAACCGCTAGTAGCGGGAATTATTAAACTAAATTTTAAATGTATTATTGATATACATATGTGTATTTACATACAAATACAATTTACAGTAATTTTGTAAACTTATCAATAATATCAACATTAAGTGAATAAATACAGCATTTAATTACTTTGCCCCAAAATACTGTGGATTTTTTTATATGATGTAAAATATTATATTCAGTTTCATCAAGATTTTCTATTCTACAGAACATTTTGTATTTATATATCTTTAATGCAATAAAGGAAATGAAATTATTCAAAAAATATGTTTTCTTATTACATTCTAAGTAAAAACCAATAATAATGTCTTTCCATTGAATTTTAATTTTCAACACAGTGGAAGCTATATCCCAGATATATTTAACATTTCTACATTCAAAAATAAGATGTTGCATGTCTTCTACAACAGAACAGATAGAACACTTATCTGAGATTTCTTTTTTCCATTTTACCATAAATTTTTTACAACAAAGTAAATTGTGCAATAATTTTTTGTAATTGAATTCCGCAATGTTTTTTTTTTATCTATAGCTACTTTAATCTTTTGTAGATAAATAGATTTCCACATTTCTTGATTAACATTGAATATTTCTCCAAGTAATGGCTGATGTTTTGGCGGAGAAAATTTCTTACTCAAAAGGACATTATAAAAAAAATGACACTTCTTATTTTCAATCTTACAATAGTTTCCATGAAAATTAAAATACCTTTTGTTCTTTATATTAATAAATTTATATTGTTGATATCCATTTTTTTTCTCTAATATATTTAAAAACAGAGTAGATTATTTTATATTCACACAATATATTTGACTTTTTTTGAATTTCTTTTTGAATAACTTCAACTCTTAATCCTTACAAAAAATGGCAATCTTGTTGTGTATGAATGAGAAATATTAAAACTTAAATCCAGAAAAATAATTTTATTAAGAGTAGAAATGTTAGAAAGCAAAACTCCTTCACAAGTATCGTCATCCCCTTGTGTACAGAGTTTTGCAAATCGAGCACACTCGTGTTATGTACACAGTTTTTGTAAACAAGGCAAGAGCCTGTTATTGTTTGGTGTTTACGATTCACCGGGTGCGTTCAATCGTCACAGTCTGCTTACTACAACTGCACGGAATGACAATATATTGTGTGTTTGTTTTGCTTTCGAACATGTCTACTCTGAATTTTCTGGATTATAGTATTAATATTTTTCATTAATACACAACAAGATTGCCACTTTTCCCAAGGATTAAGAATAAAGTTAAAATTTGTGAATGTGCAAGGATGTGTCAATCAAACCCGCCAAAAAATTTAAAGTTTTAATAACTTTTAAATGAAATAAGATTTTTAATTAATTTTTGTGTGAAATTCTATTAAAATATATAAGTCGTAATATTATAGAGAAAAAATGAACTTCAAATCTGTGTCCAAGTGGCTTTAAACTTTGAAAATGATCTCAAGACCATGGATTGTTTCTATCCCTAAACAACCTCTCTTCGTAACAATCTTTGTTCGTTTATTATTAAATATGCAACCTCCATATTTAGTTTCTTCCTTATAAACATCGATTTAACTGTCTTAAAGATAAGACATAACTTAGGAAAATCCTTACTTAGAAAAATCCTAAGATAAGACGAGATTATATTGACATGAAAAAAAAATACTTTCTTAAAAGTTCGTCTATTTCGTGCCGCACAGCTGCTAGTAGTAAATACCTGAATTACCTTTCAAAAACCTGTTTTTTACACTCGATAACTATTGGCTAATAAAGGAACCTTCCATTATAATGCACTGTGCCGTCAATACAAAATTTTTCACGCTATTACTGGCGAACTGCGGGAAAATATCAGTATTTAATTTACTAACATTAAAAAAAAACAGCACAAACATACAATGCCTGACAGCCAGCCGCGATTGCTCTAGAAAAAAGCAAAGAAAGGGGTGAAGAATACTGTGCATAATATTAATAAAATTATGATTCCAATACCCTTAAGACCATAAGTCTTTTTCCGAAGAATCTAAAATGCAACCATCCTTAACACTATCACTTCTCCATCTACCGTGCTATTTCAAACATCTCTGTCGCCCGAGTCTGTTCTAGAGTGGCGAAGTAAAGAGTTGATCTTTATGTCGCGGGTTCGAATGCCACTGTGGGACGTGGAGACCGGTTCTTCGGATGAGACTGTATAAATCGAGGTCCCGTGTCACGGTAAGTGCTGGCACGAAAACGTTCCCTCCCTGCTCAATGGCCCTGAGTGCCGAGTTTAGGACGAAATTTGCAGCTTTCCACCGCCAAGTGGTGGCGTCTCCATGTGAGTGAAAAATTCTCGAGTGTGAGTTAAACGATATACATTCAATCAATCAAACATCTCTCATCAACATTTGATTTAGCAGCCACGTGCACAGTTGCCCCACCTGCACTTAAAACTGAATTGCTACATGACATGTTCATCCATAATGCTTTTAAAAATGATAGAAGATTGCTTTTATGGCTGCTGTATAACTTTTTCATTGCTAAGCACAAGATGTCATTATGTACGAGGACATCATTAAATGTTAAAGAAATAACTTCGTCAAACCTAAGAAAACCAGCGAAACGAAAATAAAATCATAGTAAGAGTTCTGACAATTAGCAAATCATTTCATCAATAAATTTATCACAAAGTCCAATTAAAAATTCATTGGTTATAAGCTTCTTTTTCTGAATAACAGGACTAGCTTTCCGTCTTGCCGTTTCCTTTAGACATGAAACGTAAAAATTCTTAGTTGGAACTGGTAAACCTGTGCATTCATGTCATGGGCCCACTTAATCGCATACACAGCAACGTTCACAAGATGATGAGATGACCCATTCTGTAATAAATGCGTCAGGTATAATGCCATGTGCATGAGACTTTCCGGCAAAGCACAATGTCCTTGAATTTTGATGAAATTTCCTCATCTCTTAAAGTAGGATTTGTTAGTGTTATCACTTTTACTTGACAAAATCCAGCTGCTTAAATATGGACACAGATCAGCCAAATAACTTCCAGGTTCAACGCTATGTTTTTCTGCTTTTATTATATGCTGTCCTGGAGTCCTATATCTTTGTTTTGCTACCCGCTACCGTCAATGATTTTACAAACCTTGGTTGAGCTATTTCAGTAACGTCATTTTTAGCTCACCTGAGCCGAAGGCTCAAGTGAGCTTTTCTGATCACATTTTTTCCGGCGTCCGTCTGTCTAGCTGTCCGTCTTTCTGCAAACTTTTCACATTTTCGATTTCTCAAGAACCGCAGTGCCAATTTCAACCAAACTTGCCACAAAGCATTCTTGGTTGAAGGGGATTCAAGTTTGTTCAAATCAAGGGCCACGCCCTCATTCAAGGGGAGATAATTGGGAATTAGTGAAAATTTGGTGGTATGGTTTAAAAATCTTCTTCTGAAGAACCACTGTGCTAGGAAAGATGAAAATTATGGGAAAACATCCTGAGGTAGTGAAGATTCAAGTTTGTTCAAATCATGAGCCCCTGTGGGTAGGGCGTGGCCACAATGGCCGACCAAATTTTTACATAGATATATATATAGGAAAATTCTTTAAAAATCTTCTTCTCAAAAATAGCAAAGCCATAATTGATCATATTTATATGGAAGCACCCTCAGGTAGTGTAGATTCAAGTTTGTTCAAATCATGACCCCCGGGGTAGGGCGGGGCCACAATGGCCGACCAAAGTTTTACATAGAATTATATAGGAAAATTCTTCAAAAATCTTCTCAAGAATAGCAAAGCCATAATTGATCATATTGAAATCTAAGCATCCTCGGGTAGTGTAGATTCACGTTTGTTCAAATCATGACCCCGGGGGTAGGGCGGGGCCACAATGGCCGACCAACGTTTTACTTAGAAATATATAGAAATTAAAAAAAAAATCTTCTTCTCTATAATAGCAAAGCCATAATTGATCATATTTATATGGAAGCATCCTCAGGTAGTGTAGACTCAAGTTTGTTCAAATCATGACCCTGGGGGTTAGGGTGGGGCCATAATGGCCGACCAAAGTTTTACATAGAAATATATAGGAAAATTCTTTAAAAACCATCTTCTCGAGAATCGTAAAGCCATGATTTGTCATGGGACTACTTTTGGATTTAAACTTTTCAATAATGAACTATTTTCTACTTTTTCCTAGCCACAGTGCTCAGGTGAGCGATGTGGCCCATGGGCCTCTTGTAATCAACCGGAAGGCACCTGGTAGCCATATCTGCATGCGTTTGTCTATGGATATTGATCCTAGAGATTGATTGTATTTTGTTTAAAGTTCTAGTCTTACCTTGGAAGTTCCTTTCAAGTTTGTCTCAATTTTGAAAGTCTTTACTTGGTATTCATTCTTCTGTTCATCTTTTTGAATTAAAACCGGTTCGATGACCTCCTAAATAACTTTTTTTTTACAAAAACTATGTCAGTCAAATTTCTTTTCACAACAATGTTTAAAATTCTTTGAATAAACATTGAAATTGATTGATTGATTGTTGTTTAACGCCCCTCTCGAGATTTTTCCACTCATATGGAGATGCCACCACTTGCCGTTGGAGAGCTGCCAATTTCCTATACCCGGCACTCGGGGCCATTGAGCAGGGGGGATCTTTTTCGTGCCAGCACCTACTGCGACACGAAGTTTCATCCGAAGGACTTGTCCCACAGTGGGATTCGAACTTGCAACGTAAAGATCAACTTATTTCGTGGCTCCAGAGCAGACTCTCTAATCACTTCGCCACGCGGTCGACTGGGGTCCCAGAGAGGAATCGAGGTAAGTATTATTTGTTGGACTTTGGTGTTGAGGCCTAAAAAATTGTTTGTTTCCTGTAACATTCCTAAAAAATAATGGGTCGGTAGGTAGGGATTTTTTTAAAAAATAAATTTCTTAAGTGTATAGAAGATAATAAAACAAAAAAAAACATATCAAGTTTTAATATGTCATTTATTTATTTTTCCCAAATGGTCTAGCAACAAAGACCTTCCTTCCAGAGTTTTCACAAGTGGTACAAATTGGTAATACAGTTTTGTACATATTTCTCATTTCTGATTTTGGATCAGCATTTGGTGTTCCACAGTGGTAACAAACATCCACCTGGCCAAAACCCGAACCATAATATGGAATTTCAATAGGAGAACTACATGTTAAAAGAGGTCGAACAACAAGCTGATGGTATAAAGAATGATTCTGGGGAAGGAGTGGAGCCCACATGAGTAGTTGAATTCAGATATGGCAAGGGCAATTGCCATTTTCTGGCGATCTGTACTAATCTGAAAAAACAACAAAATGAACAATTCTAAAATAAGACTAAGGTGAACTTCAAGATGTGAGCACTTGCAGAGGATCTGTATTTGTGTGATCAATATCAATTTAAAAGATCATACCTTTAGATTTGAATAAACAGCCCTTGGTTTCTGACACTCGGTACATTCCACAATGCACCTTGCATTCTGGGAAGACAGAGCTACTCCCCTGGATGTTTCCTGATCTGGCAACTGTCCTACTTCAGTTGACACCTCGGTAGATGAGAGAGAGTTCTCTTTGGAGCCTTGGTCTTCACAATACTGGACCTAGGTTTTGCCTCAACAGTATCCTCCATCTTCACCTGCTCACGCAACAAAATATATGTATCAACAAATACTGAAAGGTCTTCAATCAGATATTACATTAGAAAAACAGATACATACCTCTGTATATGGCTTGTAATGTGCACCACTGTCATCCAATACAGGATCAGGAAGCCAATGTTCTGGACAATTCTCTGTGTTAGGGAGACAGCAGGCCCGATCATTACATTTCCGTATTTGAAATGTGTACTGCCTTTCTCGACAATGTTTTGCTTTCCAGTCAATGTAGGCTGCATACTTTCCTGTAGTTACGTTAGTAACCTGCAAAATATTTTACAATCTCTACTAGTGTGTCTGACAGTGTGCAAGATGGAACACATATTAAATGTACTAACACTTAAGCTTATATGTTCTTACAACCCTTTGTCAAATCTAGGGTTGGAAAAAGTGCACGTGCACGTCTTTGTAGCAATGAGATCTCATCCTCTCGGAGACTATCCATCACCTCTACTTTCTGGCCATAGAATCTAATTCTACAGAATCTACTGGAGATAATTCTTTTCACATTCTCCATTGCCTCAGACCAAGGTTTTTGAATATCAGGGTGCTCTCGTAGATCCTTCATGCTGTTACACCTCTTCGCAACTGCTTCAGCAGCCTCAGGAATCATTTTCTCCCTATTATAAAAGATACATAGAAATTTAATAGGTATGTCCAACCAAAATTAATAATCTATTCATTGTATATATTAAATTAACTGAAATTTAATACCTTTCAAGAGAACAGTTCTGAAGACCTAACTTAAGAACTGACATAACTCTCTCTGCAGGGTTGGTGAAACTTTGACAATTTTTGAAACTTTGGCAATTGGTGAAACAAATAATTTTTTTTAGGCCTGATGACAGTGATGTGCAAGGTATTTTTTTCTGTTTGGATATATAGGTTTTGCTTTGTCAAAAAGCTGTTTAAACTTAATTTGTTTTAAATCAATGGAGAACAGGACATTTACTTGCACGAGGAAGGTCGTTGCAATTTTATTTTCTATGATTCCTTGGCATCATTAAGAAGTATCACGGATTTAATCATTTTAAATGCTGTTTATCTTTATTGAGATATATTTATAATTGCAAATGTTTGCCCTTATATAACACTTTGAACAAGGCATTTTTACACCTGCGTAAAACAAGTTGGTCATGTGACCATAAAAGGCATGAATTGATTGTTTAGTCATAAATGATCTACGTAATTCAATAGTGACATCATACATGTAAGTCATCGACGTGTACAACACATACAATTTTTGAAAAAAAAATCATTTTGGGCTTAAAACTTTAGTACCTTTCTATTTGTATTACATCAGTCACAAATGTAAATATAAGTAATACGAGGGGTGATCAAAAAGTTCGCGAACTAATTGAGTAACTTCTATAAAAGAACAATATTTGGTTTCAATGTTGATTATATTTTAAATTAATCCTCTCCGATTTTAATGCACATCAACCACCGTTCTGCGCATGCGCGAATCACGTGATATTGGCGGTCACGTGACCCCCTCCGTAGCGTTCTGTCACAAAAGTTGAAAGATTTTTTCTGAGTTTTATATATTTTTCCATGTGAGTCAATTTTTATAACAAGAACAGTTCATATGTCAGAAATGGTCAAATCTCGGCAACAGAATGGGTGGATTAGAATATCCTTTCCAAAAATAAGCATGGCGACCATCAAAACTCAAATCTTCTGCCGCGGGAGAGACGTTTATTCAAGATGAATAGAGAATGGGTGTCTCCCTTTTATCATATCTAATATGTTTAAAATCTAACGTAAACGATATTTTAGGAATTTAATAATTATATTATTGTTGAAAAATTCAAATATTTTTCAAATGTAAATCGGAGGTCTTTGATAGCAAATTGCTTTATCAAAAACACATCTCTTTTCAATCTTGCTTTCACTGGGCAAAATAACAAATATCATTTTTAACCATCTGCCTTCCTTCACCAAAACGATCAATCCAATCATTAATTGAATTTATGGGAACTCATTTATCTTAATAAACTGTGTACAAATTATTATATGATACTGCAGAGGGATTTCTAAGATATACAATAAATTGTACAGTCATTTGTTGAACAAGTCCGACTGAGACAACCATTTTTCGTCACAAGTGACCTACATTGTGACGTCATTTTCACATTGTGACGTCACAAACAAGGAGAAAAACTTTATTCAATATATGCTATTTATAGACCTTGTGTATGGCTATGTGTGTATCGAATTTCATTCTAATCTGAGTTGTGGTTTTGTAGATATAGAGATAGTTCGCGAACTTTTTGATCACCCCTCGTAAGGTATCTTTTTTTTAAGTTTTATTGGGATGTAAAACGGGTTGGCACATGATCAAATCTTCCATAAAGCCCTTAATGGAATTTGATCACGTGACCAACCCGTTTTACATCCCAATAAAACTCAAGAAATGATACCTTACTTCTTAAGTAAAATGTTTTCTGTAGCATTCCACATTTTTTCACGATTTAAAAAATAGACAGATTGGTTAACAGTCATTTTCTTTGAATCAAATTACCTGCCCTTGATATAGTCCATTTCTTTTCAGGCTTCACAAGAACATGTATTTTTACATAAATATGGATTTTAAAAAGACAATTGGACAAGAAACTTCTGAATTAAAAGTTATATTATAATTTTTTTTTCTATTTTAGAAATATTTTTATTTAATTTTTTTTTAATTTTCTTTTACTAACGGTCTTTGTCTTTTATTTTTAGTTCATTTTTGCTCATCTTTTATATGTAGTTTATTGTCTTTTTTTGTATGTCGATCTAAATTTTTTTTGTACTTCATTAACCCTTTCTCTTCCGGCGCATTTTACGTGATTTTGGAGGTCTTTTGACATGACATTATTAAATTATTTCTAACTTTTTTATCCAAGGGGAAAGCTAGGCATAATGCATACCATTTTGTAGGAAATTTCTTACAGATGATTTTTTATGACTGTTTAGATACTCAACCACTGACCTTATTAGTAAAAATTGAGGTCAAAGGTCAATTAAGTGCAAAATTTTATGGAATTTTTTGATACTTTTTCATCTTTAAACTAAATATTAAGTATGATGTATGTTGAAATAGGAAATTTGGGATATACCCACAAAAGAGCATTATACTGTACTACATGAAACACATAAACTTTTTTTTCAATTCTGCATATAATTACTTAAAAGGGGTTGCTAAGGAACGCAGAATTCTTTAATTTTCGGGCAGAAATTTTCATTTTTTACTCATCCTAGACACATTTATGCATCCCAGCAGATATAAAAGTTAAATGTGAGGTCATAAAATTATAAGGGACATACAACAGATAAATTGTCTTAAAGTTTGACCTCATTAGAACTATTTTTAGGAGGTCAAAGGTCATATAAGTGCAAAAGTTTCATCAATTTTTTTCAACACTTTTCAATATTCTTGCCATAATTTTACACAATGGATGCTGACATGGAAAATTCTGAATATACTCTCAAGAAGGGATCAGAACTGCAATCTTTTCAACTTATTGACTAAACAGTTTTGCATTAAATATTGCCAATGCTATCTATTATTATTTCCCTCCAAGATAACATGTCAAGTCTTTATTGTACCCCTTAAGCTCTGTTATACCAGAAAAACTTGCAATGAAATCATTTAGTTTTTTTTTTCTTGTTAAATTAAATCCATGAAAATAAAGATTATTTTTAATGTCATCAACAATCAAATGTTTATAAACTTGTATGAATGCGATATCATGAGAATGACACAAATGAAATTAGATTTTATTTTTTTAAATTTTAGAAATACAGAAATTTTCAATACCAAAATAAAAATTTACCTGTTCATTGGTGTCCTTACATATTAATTGACCTTCCGCTCGTAGTTCATGGTGGGCTTAGAAAGTGGGTATTCACAGATGAAAGTATTGTTGCATATGCTGAAAGCACCCTAAAATTTCAATGTGAAAGTGGTACATGTACACCTATACACACTGGTACATAGATACTAAAAACAACTATCCATTATTATGACAACTTTGATTTTACTTTGAACTTACGAGTGATTGTCAAAAGCATCAAAGTTCAAAAGCAATGCAAAATTGGCTGAACGATACGAAACACGCACACTGAAACATAAAGATCTAGTACATGTGTACATTTAGTTTTCTTTTGAACGTGAACTAATGCGTTTTAAACTTAAACTTTTCAGTCAATATACACGTATTCTCACCTGCTAATACCAAAGGCATATCCGTATTATTTGATTCATTGATGTGATGATCTTCGTCGTGAAATAATCATGAAAATTGACGTTCAGATTTCGGATCACCATCATGTTTACACCAAAGCGGAAACACGTGTTTATTTCAATTCGTATCAACTCATACAGTATTGAGTCGTATTTATTTATAAATGCGAGTTTTTGTATTGTTAAATATAGATCTAATTTAATTGTAAATTAATAAGTATACAGTATAACAAGATACAACAATATTAAAAATCTGATTGATTTTTTTTTTTAGTAAAGATCGACGTTTTGGAAATCTACAATTTTTATCAATATTGTTTATCGCTTCATGAAATATACATCATTGCATGTAGATGAATAAATCAACATTCACTTCACAAAAGGCAGAACGAAAGTATATATTTGTTTTTTGAAATCTATTTTTTTTTGTATTATTTCAGTAAAAAATATATATCTAAATGGTCAAAAAAGTCTTATAAAAGAATTTGTTGTTTCGAGTTAGACACAACAGTATCGACCTTGACGTTACATGTAAATATTGACCGATTTTTCCATAAAAACTATGCAAAGGTCACAAATTCAAATTATCGTAATTAAGAAAATACTGAGTGTAAGAAGGCATATAAGGGCTTGTTGGAAAGGAAATTTTCTCTACTATTACCAGCTTTATTTTGTTTTCCCTATTTCAACACAGAAATAAACGTAAAACTGAGCTTTGTTTAAATATTACGAATAAAATTGATAAAAAACACATAAGTGCAATCGCTTTGGAAAATTACGCCATTTTCAAAAAGTCTCGTTTGTCTTTACAACGTAAAATCGATTAAATACCGGCAATCAAGATATAATCTTTTTAGATATTTTAAAAGTAGAGAAAATTTCCAAAAAGATGATATATAGGTTATATACCTTCATGCTACCACAAAATAGATACGGAGATCTTATTTTCGCGAAGTCGTGTTTTAACGCGCCACCGGTCAATTTGACCGGTACGGAAGTGAAGGGGTTAAGCAAAGGATCTATGGTAAAAATTTAGAAAACACTCACCTTTTTGCAGATAAATATGGTTTTCACGTGCACGTACTTAAGTGTTTTTGAAATATGCTTAAAGCATAAAAAAGAAAAAAAACGTCCAAACTTTATGGAATACCTACATCATGAAGTGTGCGAGAAATTGAAAGTAATCTATTATAAAAAGTAAACCGCATAAGAAAAGAAATAGATAGATTGAATAAATTCACCTACAAAGAGATATTAAATGCAAACTAAAGCAATATGTTTGAACTGCCACATTCAAGACAAGAATCATTGAAAAGTAATGGAAGTGGAGAGGACGTGGATAGCAAGAAATTTGGATAAGTGGATTCAGCAAAGGAAGAGGAATG